GCAGAGAACAGGGGGGTTGAATGGGGGCAGGGATCCCCAGGGGGCAGTCAGGAAGGAGAGAGGGGACTGGATGGGGTGGCGGGGAGCAGTCAGGGACAGGGGTTCTGGTGGCAGTCAGGGGACAGGGAGAAGAGGTGGTTGGATGGGGCAGGGGTCCTGGCAGGGCAGTCAGGAATAAGAGGAGGGGTTGGATAGCGTGGCGGGGGGCAGTCAGGGATGGGGGTTCCAGGGGCTGTCAGGGGACAGGGAATGGGGGGGTTGGATGGGGCAGGAGTCCCAGGGGGGCCTATCAGGAGGCGAGAAGCAGAAGGGGTTGGATAGGGGGCGGGGCCAGGCCACACCTGGCTGTTTGGGGAGGCACAGCCGCCCGTAACCAGCCCTCCATACAATTTTGGAAACCCGATGCGGCCCTCAGGCCAAAAAGTTTGCCCGCCCCTGTTCTAGCAGGTCTCAATCATACAGTGACTTTGCTGAAGTGGCCTTTTCCTATCGGGTAAGGGGGCCCACTAATGCCAAACACCAGTGTCCACTACTTCTCAAAGTGAGGTTTTTTCTTTTAAATAACAAAAATCACCTGCACCCATGTGTCTATTTCAGACTAAATGCTTCTGGGGGCATTTGTGTATTATACAGTACCAAGTGAAATGGCAGTGTTAACTAATTGGTAGTAACTAATACTTAGCTCTTACATAATACTTTTCATCAGTAGATCTCAAAGCATTTTACAAATAAGGTAAGCATCATTATTCCCATTTTATAGATAGAAACTGAAGCACAGAGAGATGAAGTGATTTGACCAAGCAGGAACAGAGCTGGGAACAGAACTCAGGTCTCCTGAGTCCCTGTCCAGTGCTCTATCCACTACACCACATTGCCTCCCTAATAGTCTGCAATAGATCACTCTACTAGTATAGATAAGGCCTAAAAGATCAGCCTCAGGCCTAGGAGAAATATTTGATATGTCAAACATCTGCCCCAGAGGGCAAGTCAATATGTTTGAGATTTAGGCCCCAACAAATGAAGCATTTGCTGAGGATGGAATGTATCAATGCATTTTGGGATTGATTCCCGCCGTTCTTTGTTGCGGGTTGCCACATTTCAGAATACCAGCTCTGATGTCTCTCCTTCTCTCCCAGGGTTGGTTACTAGAAGCTGATCTGGATAGAATTCTGGCTATCCTTACTCAAAGAGACACAGTCTGGGAGAGGGATACTTGTCAAGATGTGAAGTTGATCACCAGGAGATTGTTGATGGGCTAGGAACTGCACACCAGGGGGCAGTTGGATTGGGAGGGGGCAGGTTCAGCTCATCAAGAAGTAGTCAGCATGGGACAGGCAAGAATAGTATCAGCATAGACTTGAGGAGATTAAGGTGACTGTCAGAATGGAGTTGTGATGTGGGCTTGATGGAACAGAGTTGGGGGAAGGAATACACCAACAAGATAAGGGTCACAGGGTTGCTCCCTGGGTTGTCTGATGGGGTTCATTCATGGATTGGGAGGTTGGGGTGGGGAAGGGTGTATCAATATCTGGTACTCAGATGGGGTGCAGAGGTTTGCTCACAGGTATTTGGCTAGAAGATGTGGAGGTGTTGCTCACCAGGATATGGCATGAGGTGTGGTGGTTTAACTCACTCGGACAGTGGTCTCCAAACTTTTTTGATCACACACCCCATCAGTAAAAAATTTTTGAGCATGCACCTCCCGCTCCCGGCCGAACCAACGAAGAAAGAAAAAAAAAAAAAAAAAAAAAAAAAAGGCCGCTCGGCCTCCCAGCCGAACTGCCGAGGGAGGGGAGAAAAAAAAGAAGCGGCGCTGCTCCACCAGCGCTGCTCCTGCTGCGCACCCTGAAGGATCCTCTTGTGCACCCCACTTTGGAGACCACAGCACTAGGACACAGCTAGAGGGGAATCCCTTACAGGGACATGATCTCAGAGGGGAGGGAGAGTCATCCACTACTAAGTGATCATATGGGCAACTGTGCAGAAAGGGTTACCCACTAAAATCCTGTCAGATTGGATGCATGAATGGAGAGCTCACCAAGATGTGACTGAGTCATAGTTTAAGGCCAGAATGGATCACCAGATCATCTAGTCTGATCTCCTGTATATCATAGGCAACCAACACCCACAAAACCCAATAAATGAAATTAGATCTCCATATATACCCCACAGGAGACCAGAGTATTATGTGTCACAGGCAGAGACTAGGAGGGACTAAAGTGCAGCAGTGCCAAAGGCCCCTGCAATGGCAGGGAAATGACTGGACAGAGAAATGGATATGGTACAAGGTGTAGTCCGGCGGCACCTTAAAGGCTAACAGATTTATTTGGGCATAAGCTTTCGTGGGTAAAAAACCACTTCTTCAGATGCACGGAGTGAAAGTTACAGATACAAGCATACATCTGTAACTTTCACTCCATGCATCTGAAGAAGTGGTTTTTTTACCCACAAAAGCATATGCCCAAATAAATCTGTTAGTCTTTAAGGTGCCCCAGGACTCCTTGTTGTTTTTGTGGATACAGACTAATATGGCTACCCCTCTGATGCATAGTACAAGGTGTCACTCACCTGGATGTAGTCAGGGCATATGAGCATGCACAGAGGGTGAGTCACTGAGATGTGACCTGGCTAGAGATCAGGCATGGAGGAAGTAGTCACTAGGATGTAGCTAGGTGAGGGCTGCTCCGATGAGATCACTCATCGGGAGGGTGACAGTATTGGGACCAAAAAGGTGTCCAGAAGATATTATTTGGGAAGTCGGGGATGGTAGTTACTTACCAGTACATAGTTGGGGGTAGATTGTTGGAGGGTTGTGTTAACAGCTAGAAGCATATGCCGCATGAGGCTACTCATCAGAATGTGATCAGAGGGGTGGGTCGCAGGGAGGAGAGGAAGTTTACTTCACCTGGACAGAGTAACAGGATATGGGGGAGGAAGTGGTGATACAGGAGTGGCATGGGTTACTCACCGGCACACGGTCTGGGTATTTGGCTCGGATTTTTGCAGACTCTACACATCTGTGCTCTGTAAACAAAACATTTAATTAGAAAAATGACAACATGGCTCAGACCCTGGGCAACGTAGAGTAGACCTAGGAGGAATAGGAGAGATGAAGGAGACAGGATCAGTAGGAGAATCTTTCCTGCCAGCTCTTTCATACCTCCCTATGCTACTTAAGGGACTGAACTCCTGAGTAACAGCGCTAGGGTCCCCCCAGGGATGTGTCTCTACTAAAGATGTGCAATGGATTGGAGAGGGTTGGTGGAAAAGGGTCAGTGCCCTCTGCCTGCGGGGGAGGGGTGGACTGGAGAGAGGGGTATCACTGCGTGTGGGGGACGGGGGCAGTGAGAGGGTGAACTAGGGAGGCCTCTGGAGAGATGGTGGCCGAGAGGGGGGCCGTGCTGCGGGCTTTGCGTACGGCACCGCTCGAGCTACGAGCCTGGTGAGACCTGGGGGAGCAGTGGGTCATGGCCCTCCTGGGCTCGGAGGGGGCGGGTCAGCAGCGGGGGCAGTGTCCCGAGCCAGCGCAGCCCCAGCCCCGCCTCCTTACCCAGCGCATGATCCTCCTTGAACATCCACTTCATGGTGCGGGGCGAAGCGGAGCCAGCGGGGGTCGGTGCCCGGAGGTCCGGCCGGGGGGGTTGGTGCCAGGTCGGGCCGGGCCTGTCACCGTCACAACAACAGCTCGGCGGGCGGGGCTTCCTGCTCACAAGTTCCCTAGCAACCAGGCGAAGGGGCGGGGTTTCCGGCCTACGGTGACCGAGCAACCGGGATGGGGGAAGGGCCCTGACATCCGGGGACCTTGGGCTGGGGTCACGTGGCGCGTACGAAACTTAAATGCTTTGCGCCGGTTTTGACGTTTTGTGTAAGGCCAGGCGCGGTGTCCCCCCCTCGCCGCAGTGAGGCAGCCTGCTCGCCTGGTAACCGTGTCCTCTTCTCGCAGCGCCCTCCCATCACTCCCGCCGCCCAGCCCGGTCCCCATCCTCCCCCAGCTACGCGCACCAAACAGCGCCGCGCGTTAGTAGGAATAACAAAAGCGTCAACAGCGCAGGCTGCTCCCGGCCCTGGCACGGAGCCCGCGCATCGGGCTTGCCACACTGCGAGTCAGTGACCGCCCCGTAACGTCGGGACGGGAGGCGGAAAGCCCTGTGCAAGCCCAGCGCGAGCGAGGCGTTTTCTGTGCCAGTGCCGGAAATGGGAAGGGGAGAGATTCCCTCGCATTAGCAGGCATCATGAGGTTTGCCTGAGGAGCCCCCTGGCACCGGGCCAGCAACGGGCAGCGATGGCACGACCCGTAGCACTCCCCTGTCGCCCCTTGTGGGGCTCGTCCCGGAACGGGCCCTTTGAACTGAACCGTAAGGCGCCCGTCACCGTGAGCCCCTGTCGGGAGGGGAGGGCGGCACTCAGGCCTGCAGCAGCAACTGCCTCCCTCCCGCAAGGCGGCGGTTCTCAGACCCCCGCCAGGGACCCTACTGCGGGAAGGGCAGGAACGCCCGGAAAGGTAGAGGCGGAGCCCCAGGCTTTGCCTCTGGTTCGCTGTTGAGCCCACGGGTGCATTATCATTGGATAAGGTCATACTCATCCCACCCAGCTGGAGTCGGGCACTCTGATTGGTTTGATTTCTTGTCAATCTTAGTCTGTAACAGTTCCCCTGGTAACGGAGTCTGGCTTTGGCGGACGCCCGAGGCCTGCCCGCCATGGCCCAGCTGGAGCTCTTCTCCCACCCCGGGCCCGGCGTCCGCTACCGCGCCGGGCTCTGCTCTACAGCGGCGCTGGGGCTGCTGCTGCTGTGGGCACTCACCTACCTGCCGCCGCTGCTAGTGGCGTATCGGAGTCAGGGTGAGCTCCCCGACCGGGGGGCAGCCCGGGCCCAGCCCACGTCCGGTCCCGGAGCCTGGCATCCCCCCTCGCTCGGCTTCCAGGCCCTGCTGCACGCCCCCCTCACCCGCCACTTGCCCCCTGCGGGCCGCCCCCTCCCGGCCTGCCTGGCCCCAGGCTCCTGCAGGGCTGGCGCCCAGCGAGGACATTCCCTGGGAACTAAGTATCGGGGGTAGCCGTGTTAGTCTGTATCCACAAAAACAACGAGGAATCCGGTCACACCTTAAAGACTAACAGATTTATTTGGGCATAAGCTTTTGTGGGTTAAAAAACCCCACTTCTTCAGATGCATGGAATAAATGTTAGTCTTTAAGGTGCCACCGGACTCGTTGTTGTTTTTCTTGGAAACTAAGGCACCCAGCCATCCACCCCCAACCTGACCCTCCCTGACCCTGGAGATCTTGCCCTGGGTGCTGACGTACCTACTGAGGCATGTCAGAGCCACTGCGTGGCAAGGACACCTGTGGCTGTCGGGCCCCAAGGACCCCTGCCTTGCTGGCCACCAGCCCCTCTAGTGCTCCCTTAGGTACTACACCCTCACCCAGCCCTCCAAGCAGCACCTCCCTCCACCCTGGACCTCCATGCCCTGCCTACCATCAGTCTTCCAGGAGATGATGTCCCACAGAGCCTCTGAGGCAATGATGCCACTTGGGGTGGCCTGGTGCGAGAACAGCGTTGTCAGGTTGGATTATGGCCTTGATTTCTCACAGGCTTTCTTTTAATTCCACTGAATGAATCTGCCCGGGAACAGACTCCACTCACAGGCAGTGAGTTATATGGGCCCATGGTGCCCGTGCTCCACCAATATTCAGGAAGGTGGTCCTGGTTCCACCAATATTTGGGCTTATATTTTCAGAGCCATTCCATCCATACGATGGAGTGGGGCAATCACCTCAGGTCCCGTGCTTTGGGGGCCCCACTCTTCAGGGGGACGTGGGGTCCAGGGCAGCCTGGGGACTAGCGGGGGGCCTGGCGCTGGCAGCAGCGAGCGACCCAGACCACCCTGCTCTGCCCCGCCCCGCCCTGCCTCTTCCCACCCCTGCTCCGCCCCCTCCCTGCCCCCATTCCACCCCTGCCCCCACTTTGCCTCTTTCTGTCTTCTGCCTCCTCCCCTGAGCAACACCGGGAGCTGGTGGGGTGGGGCGGAGCAGGCTGGGCTGCTCATTCTGCATGTGCCAGGCCCCCCGCTAATTCCCTAGGCTGCCCTGGACCCACGTCCCCCTGAAGCGCGGGGTTCGGGGCGGTTGCCCTGGTCTGTCCTATGGATGGGACGGCTCTGCTTGGACCCATTGTGGGCACCACCAAAAATTATACAAACCTGGTGCCCATGACTCCACTAGGCTCAGAACCGTCTCATCCCCCAGCTCAGGGCAAATTTTAATTGGGTGAGTGAAACTCTGGATGGCCAGCAGCAACACCAGGGAGAGGCCTGACCCTCCCAGGGTTCACTTCTCCTTCACCCTCATTCCCAGCACTGATTCTCCCATTGTCTCTCTACTTGCAGGACTTTGGCTGAAGCAAAGTACCTACATGGAGCAGCCCACAGTACAATTTCAGTATGAGGTGCTGCTGGTGGCTATGACTGGAGCTGACCCAGGCAGCTTCCTGGCTTGGAGCACATTTCCAGCCTTCAACCACCTCCAGGAAGACCAACTGCGAGTTCCACTCATCTCGGTAGGTTACCTACAATGGGGTGGGGTGGTAAGTGGGTGCCAATTGGGATGCCCTGTTGTCTTAATTATCTGTGTTTGGGGTTCGTGCCAGTTGCCCCACACAGCAGCTTGGGAAACCTCCGGTGATGAGGGAGGTGGTGACACCAAGTAAAAGGCCCTTATGGGCTGCGGGGGTATGTGCAGACCATGAGGGTATATATGATACAGTAGAGAATGAAAGAGGAAGACATGAGGGAAGGAGGTACAGAGCTAAAATAAGCTGGTAAGGTATAATTAGAAAAACATTAAAGAGAGAATGAATGGAGAATGCTAAACAAATAGATGCATTGGATAAAGAGAGATAAATTCAAGAGATTTTCTCTGCAAGTAGAGAAATAGACACAGTGTCAAAGGGAAAATAGACACTGGAAGAGATCTAAGAAAAGAAATGTCACAAAGGATTGTGTAGAGTGTCTTTTGGTTTGCTATTTGATAGTGGTTTCAGCTTCTAACCTCTTGATAGTAGTTCCCAAGTGCCTTGTTCTGATTTCAGTGGCAAACTGTTCTACCTGACAGTCTTGTGAGAATATAGAAGATTAGGGTTGGAAGAGATCTCAGGAGGTCATCTAGTCCAACCCCTTGTTCAAAGCAGGACCAACCTCAACTAAATCATCCTAGCCAGGGCTTTGTCAAGCCAGGCCTTAAAAACCTCTAAGGATGGAGATTCCACCACCTCCCTAGATAACCCATTCCAGTGCTTCACCACCCTTCTAGTGAAATAGTGTTTCCTAATATCCAACCTAGACCTCCCCCACTGCAACTTAAGACCATTGCTTTTTGTTCTGTCATCTGCCACCACTGAGAACAGCTTAGCTCCATCCTCTTTGGAACCCCCCTTCAGGTAGTTGAAGGCTGCTATCAAATCCCCCCTCACTCTTCTCTTCTGCAGACTAAATAAGCCCAGTTCCCTCAGCCTCTCCTCATAAGTCATGTGCCCCAGCTCTATAATCATTTTCGTTGTCCTCCGCTGGACTCTCTCCAATTTGTTCACATCCTTTCTGTAATAGGGGGCCCAAAACTGGATGCAGTATTCCAGATGTGACCTCACCAGTGCCAAATAGAGGGAAATAAGCTCTTCCCTCAATCCCCTGGCAGCGCTTCTACTAATGCAGCCCAATATGCCATTAGCCTTCTTGGCAACAAGGGCACACTGTTGACTCGTATCCCGCTTCTTGTGCACTGTAATCCCGAAGTCCTTTTCTGAAGAACTGCAGCTTAGCCAGTCAGTCCCCAGCATGTAGCAGTGCTTGGGATTCTTCCATCCTAAGTGCAGGACTCTGCACTGGTCCTTGTTGAACCTCATTGGATTTCTTTTGGCCCAATCCTCCAATTTGTCTAGGTCACTCTGGACCCTATCCCTACCCTCCAGCATATCTACCTCTCCCCCCAGCTTAGTGTCATTTGCGAACTTGCTGAGGGTGCAGTCCATCCCATCATCCAGATCATTAATGAACCGAACATTGAACTGTAGAGTCCTGTCATTTCTCTAGTCTGCTTGCTGTGAGTTCAAGGCAAAATGGATGCAGCATTATAAGGATGTATCTTTTTTCCCCCTGCACATGTAGTCTGTTCATCTTGAGATTCTTTTTTTAGTGTCTGCTTGCTGTAATTAACTTCCAGATATCTGCCTGTAATAAGAGACCATTACCAAGCCATGCATTTCTGATAAAGTTCTTGTATCTTATAGACTAGAGAAGAAGACAAGAATCATGATGGCAAAATGGACCAATTACATTTTAAATTAGAGCTTCCTCTACAATCTACAGAACAAGTACTTGCTGTCCAGCTCATTCTGACTTTCTCCTACCAATTACATGTGAGTAGCTCAGATTCTGTTAATGTAGGTGGCCCTATCACAATGCTATTTGAGTGCCCAGTGTGACATTCCTGTAGCAATAATGTAATAGATAATAAAAAAGATCATTATTTACATTTTTTATTAAGTCTGCTGTATGTCAGGACTAACTAAATCAATGTTTGATTTTTCTCCCTACTTTCCAACCAAAGGGACATCACCTTTGGTTACTCCTGACTGAGCTTTATGGTGCATATGTCACCAGACTGCTAGAACTCTCCAAGGCAGTAGTACAGTGCAGAGGACAGAAAGAATGCATGGCACTGTGTGAATGCTAGTGTAGCTATGGGGTTCTGGTGGGCACTGAGAATATGCAAGAGTTTGTTAGAAAAGGATGCTACATACTTAAATTCCCTTATCTTCTTGCCATACCTAGTGAAATGTCAGCCTCTAGGGGTGACAGTGGCAGCCATTTTAGCAGATATTCTTACCACTCTTTCATATGTTCTTAGATTTTAGAGCCAAGTGTCCATTGTGATCTACTTGAACCTCCTGCATATCACAGTCCAGAAAAAAAAGAGATCTCTCGTTTCTCTAGTTGCACCTGTTCCTGCACATGCACCTCTCCTGAAATGGGAGAACAAGCTTTGGCAACTTGCTGGAACTAATCCTTAGATCAGGTGAAGGCTACACCTGCCACAGTGAGGTTTCAGTAGGTGTTAAGATGAGGAATAATTGTAAAGCATTGTGTTGGACACAAGACGACACAGGAAATGGCATATTTTGTTAGGGATAGGTCAGATTTTGTTTTTTTCTGGTGCTTATTGCTAACTGCAGAGAAGAAGACTTAAGCTTGCGTAGCAGTGCGGCCTGGGAGTCCTTTACCATAACTTTATATTTCCTTATTTTCAGCGGTTTAAGTATAGGTGCGCTACCAGTCAACCTTAATTGTATGTTAACAAAGGTTGGGTTTTTTGGGGGCAATTATTAATATGTGGAAGGTTCTGAAATTCTTCGTGCTTTGCCCTTATAATAAATTAGTGTAGGAATCTTCCAGTAGGTTACATGGCCAAAAAAGGCCAAGGAGCCATCTACTTCAGCTCACCCTTTGGGCAGGAATTCCTGCTTCTCAGCATGCATATCCCATGATGAGCATTTTTAAAGTATTTATCTCAGATGAATTTACATTTGCTTAATCATTGGGTTTCCACTATGTCAGATGGCCAAATGTTTGTCTTTTTCATCAGCTATAAAATGTTGTATTCTCTGGTGTGACGTAGAATTCTGTGGGGCTTCTATAAACTAGTTTGAGTAGCAGTTAAGGTAGTTAACTTCTAATAACCAAATAAACACATTCGTATAGTTTTCTGTAAGGCATTTGAGTTGGTACTTCATGACATTTTGATTAAAAAAACTAAAATGATATAAAATGAACCATAGCACACAGTAAATGGATTAAAATCTGGCTAACTGATAGGATTCAAAATGTAATTGTGAACAGGGAATTGTCATTGAGCGGGTGTGTTTCCAGTAAAGTCGCGCAGGGATCAGTTCTTGTCTACACACTATTTAATATTTTTTTTATCAATGATCTTAAAGAAAACATCATCACTGATAAAGTTTTCAGATGACACAAAAATTGAGGGAGCAGTAAATAATAAAGGGGACAGATCACTGATTCAGAGCGATCTGGATCACTTGGTAAACTGGGTGCAAGCAAACAGGATATGTTTTAATATGGCTAAATGTAAATGTATTCATCTAGGAACAAAGAGTGAAGACCATACTTACAGGATGGGGGACTCTATCCTGGGAATTGTGACTCTGAAAGAGATTTGAGGGTCATGGTGGATAATAAGCTGGAAATAAGCTCCAAATGTGACACTGTGGCCAAATCTGCTAATGTGATCCTGGGGTGCATAAAGAGAGGAATCTCGAGTAGGAGTAGAGAGGTTATTGTACCTTTGTATTCGGCACTGATGTGACTGCTGAAATGCTGTGGCCAGTTCTGGTGCCCACAATTCAGGAAGGATGTTGGTAAATTGGAGAGGGTTCAGAGAAGAACCCAATGATTAAAGAATTAGAAAACATACCATATAGTGCCAGATTCAAAGAGTTCAGTCTATTTAGTTTATCAAAGAGAAGGTTAAGGGGTGACTTAATTACAGTCTATAAGTATCTACCCGGAGAACAAATATTTAATAATGGGTTCTTCAGTCTAGCAGAAGAAGGTACAACACAATCCAGTGGCTGAAAGGTGAAGCCAGACAAATTCAGATTGGAAATAAGGTGTAATTTTTTAATAGTGAGGGTAATTAACCATTGGACCAATTTACCAAGGGTCATGGTAAATTCTTCCTCCCTGACCATTTTAAATCAAGATTGGATGTTTTTTTTTCTAAAAGATATGCTGTAGAAACTATTTGGGGGGAAGTTCTATGGACTGTGTTTATACAGGAGGTCAGACTAAAAGATGATCACAATGGTCCCTTCTGACCTTGGAATCTCTGAAGCCTCATGTCTAAAATTATCTGACACTAAAATTTAAGAGCTAAGAAGATGTAAAATAAAACCCATACAGAAATTCTGTAGACTTATAAAAGTAGAAGATTTTTTGGAGGGTTTTCCTATATTCAGTTGTATCTACTGTTCACTGTTTCAGAGGATGTCAACATTTGTGATGCAGAGCATGGCTTTTATCCAGTCGTCCTCCCCTATTCCAGGGTCCCAGCTTTATGTGAACGGAGACCTGAAATTGCACCAGAGGCAGTCACTTAACCATTGTGGAGTAGACATCAGATACAATGTGAGGAGAACCTTTCTCCCTTTTTCTTCTCATTACCCTTTCTGCATCAGTGATGACCAGAATTACCCCTACCCAGAATTTCTAAACTAAGGTGTGCTTGCTGAGCTGGAGGGTGGGAGAAGGTCCTGTGGCTGCCAAGCCATTCAGACCAAGGACTGGGATTATTTATCTTTACAGACAGAACCACTTTGTGTAAAAAATTGGGTAAAAGCAACTTTCTGGAGAGTGGGGCATGAAGGTTTTATATTGGCATTAAAGTATCACCTTGTGTAACAGGTATCTGTGATCAATGGCACCAGCCCTTTTGCAAGTGACTACGATCTCACTAACATCATTGCAGCATATCAAGATAGAAATGGTAAGTCTGAACTAATGGCTACCAATCCCAGGACAGTTTATGTGTGACTACATATAACAATGTTTGGTGGCTGTTCTCTGAGGATTTGTGTTTTCGGTATCAGTTTGAAAGGCCCCTTAAGAACCTTCATTCTTTTTTCATTGCAGTAACAACAGTTCTTTCTGATTCCAACCCTGTTTGGCTGGTAGGAAGAGCAGCAGATGCGCCATTTGTGATTAATGCCACTATCCGTTACCCAGTGGAAGTTATTTTATATCCTTTAGCAGTTGTGTGAACTCCAGTGAGGTAACAAGGTATTTAACAATGTTCTGCACTTAAAATACAGTGTCTGTCCCACTTCATCTGTATGTAATATCAAAGGAGTGGAAATGTTACTAAACTTTTCTTGGTAAATATGTAGATCCTAAGGTGCAGCAACTTGTGCTCGGAACATTAATGCAGTTTTAGAAACCTGTTCTAGCTCTGTTATGGCTCCATCTTCTAGTGGTTCTCTTATGAAAAGGATGTTCAATTCCCTTAGTCCAATTTTTTTTTCTGGATTTATTTCTAACCTCTTCCTTCTCTAGATATACATATATACATACATACATCTATTCAGTTGTGCTGCATTTAATTTTAAGTTTTCAAGTTTCGTTGGTGTAATAGAAGTTTCAGATGCTTCTTATGTAATGCTCCTTGACTCTTACTACATATCAGCCAGGTTTCTGGGAAATGATCAAATTTGCCTGGATCCAGTATGTTAGTATCCTGCTTATCTTTCTTTGGGTGTTTGACAGGATAAAAATCTTCGTGTTCCAGAATCAGGTACTGACCACAATACCAGTGTTGCCAATTTCCTCTTATAAACAGCACCAGTCCTGAGAAAATACCTGAAATGACTTTAAAGAGACTTAGGATAAGAGAGTCTACTTAATTTTCATTCTCTTTAGAATTCTCGTATTTCTGAAGATGAGGAACTTCATAAGTTACATTCTGGATCATGTTCTGTTAATGCTACAACAGACTAGAGTGTCTGGACATTTTTATTTCTTTGTATTTAGTAGACCTCACGTTGCTGTGAGAGAGCACTGCTTTGGGATTATTGTGTGCTCTCATGTTTTTGACAGTTCAAGAAGAATGTTATCTTTTGCAATATGACTGCATTTCAAAAGCCATGCAAGCCAACATGGCACCTGTTCTGCTGAAATCTATACCACCTTTGGCTGATCAGATATGCTTTTAATTTGGCTAAAATACACAATATAATAATTGAAAGCCACATGGTAACAATAACTGTGTAAACTACTTGTACTGTCTTAGTTTTGTATATAAGGGCACCACTAATCAGTTCTGAAAACTGAAGTTCTATCAAGCCTTTAACTGTGTTGAGGTGTGGGAATGGGAGGGGAGAGATTTTGAAAGAATGGGGAAGAGGCAAAGGCACGCTTCCCAAGAGTTTGTGGTTCCACGTATGCTTTCATTGACCTGGTACATGTTCCAAAATCATGAACAGGCAACAGTCCTGTCACTTTCTGTGTTGCTCCTTTGTTTTGAGGACAGAATGTTAACATGATGTGAATTAGGTTTTATTAAATGCCAGATATTTTGAAAATGCAATATTAGGTGTCATTTTTTCATTGGATGATGGGCAGACTTAAGGTTGATGTGGGAACATTAATTATCATTTTGGGACTTTATTATTTATTTGTATTACCATAGCACCTAGTCATAGGCCAGGACCCTATTGTGGTTGGTGCTGTACAAGCACAGGACAAAAGGACTGTCCCTAACCAAAAGTACAATTTAAAGTATGATAATTGACAAATGGATACTAACAGATAGATGAATACAAGGAAGCAGTGAGACTGTACTAGCCAGCATGATAGGCAGTGGTAGCAGTTCACCAACAGTGCAGCAATTGTTTGTTTGTTGGCATCATGGCAAAGGAGAGTCTTTTAAGGAGGAAGTTAAAAGCGGTTAATGGGGTAGCTTTATGACTGTTTACTGGAGGCATCTCTAAAGCATGAGGAACATCATGGGGTGGGGGGAGCACGAAGGTGCTTGCCTGAAAATGTAACAAGTGGCGATGGAGGGAGGTATCATTGGCCAATTAGAGGAGAGAGTCAACATCTTGATCGTGAATTAGAAATGATAGGTAGGATGAGCATAGGCCATTAAAAGCCTTGAAAGTGAATATAAGCAGCTTATGTTTGGTGCAATAGAGAAGGGGGAGTCAGTGGAGGGATTCAAAGAGAATAGTTACAGGGTCAAAGCATCAGCATTCTGAATGGAGATGAGCAGGGCAAGATTGCATTTGTCAAGGCCAGAGGAAAGGATGTTTCAGTAATCAAGATGCAGGACTGGATAAGAGTTTTAGCTGTGTGAATCGATAAGAAAGACCATATGTTAGATGTTATGCAGAAAGAATCAGCAAGACTTAGATATAGCCTGGATTTGAGGACCTAGAGAGGTCTGAGTGAAGAGGAGAATGAGGATGGAGTACTGGTTCTGCACTTTGGCTAGCAAAAGGGTATCCGAGAACCTGACATACCAGGGTACAATCCAGACTAATGAGCAGGTATGTCACCCTTTCCCTGCACTCTTGGGTGCCTTACAATGTCTTGCTGAAGTAGTTCCCACCTGGGCCACTCTCAAACAGCCTTCCAGCATGCAAGCCACCCCCTGAGTGTCTGTCTGTAACAGCAGCCTGCCAGCCACACTTGGGTTACATTCTGGCTCTCACCAGCCTTGGATGTACTGCAGGGTGACCCCAACACACCCTGTCCCAGATTTCTCCCCCAGAAATATGTCCTGTACTCTCCAGCCCTCTCCTGGACAGTACAAAATATTTTAAGTCCAGAAATACTATATCAGCTTATTATCTCAAATGGTTATTCAGGCACTTCAGTTTAAACACACTGGATTAGATAAAGCAGTAAACCAAGTTTATTAACTGCAAAGAGGTAGATTTTAAGTGAGTGTAAGTAATGAGGCATATACAAGAAAAACAAAGTTAAGATGTTTAATAAAACCTAACTAATAAACTGTATCAGATTCAAGCAAAGTTTCTTACCACATGCTTTCAGCAGTCTTTCTGACCAGAACATGTCGGTCAGGATCCCTCCCCCAGAGACGAACAAATGCTTCCTTTGTTGTTTCAGGTGGAGTGAATGCAATGGGCAGGAAGAGAGAGGGGGGTGTCTTAGGGTGTTTGACCCTCCTTTTTATAGTTTCAGTTCCTCTCTTGAAAAACATTTCCAGCTGGGCACTAGGAAACAGCCTATGTGGAAGGATGTTCCTGATGGGTTTTTCTCACCTGTAGGAGTTTTCTTTGTTTCCCTTCCTGCTTGATGACTGTTTACTACTTAAATGCAAATTAAGCAGAACAGACATTCCTTTGTTTAGGACAGATGTTTGCCAACCTCAGTTTGGGCAGCGCTGTGGGGCTTGGAACATGTGTTAAGAACATCATACAGGGAAATCTTACATCTTTACATACAGTGTTGCCACACAGTATCAGAACAATAGTGCCCAACACATTATGAGTTTAAAATGATACCGTAAAAGACATGCTTCATGCAAAAATTATTACAATAGTGTGTAGGGTTGAACACGGGTATATTCTGTCATACTGGAAAAGGGATTCAGTGGAGTGCTAGGGGCTGAAGTCAGGCTGGAGAGGGTCTAGGATGGAATTGGAGGAAAGGAACTTCAGACAGTGATTGTAAACTGTTACCTATCAGCTCTGTGTTCTTGGGGAACCAGGGTGCAGTACCCAGCCTGTCTGACTCACAAAAGACCTTCCCTCCCCCCACAGCCTCTCTTGAACCAAAGCCGATCAGAAGGAAGATTTACAAAAAGCAATGAAAAGGCAGTGGGAGACACACCTAAACCCCTCCGGACAAGGGTGACAGGATTACAGAAACTCTCCTAGCCTCATTTGCATCTAAGGTGGGACAGGGAGGCATCCCCATTAGCGAACAGAGATTCCAAGGCAAGAACCGCTTGGAACTCTGGGACCAGAAAAGCAAGGAAGCACTGCATGATGGGGGATCTCTGCTCCAGATGTTAATGAACCCATGCCTCCACACACCCAGCTCAGTAGTTATCAGACCAATTCTAGTAATCTTCTGTTGGTATCTAAAATACTGAAGCTGCGTAACTGCATTGTGAGCTCCCTGGAAGGAACACCACCCATAGCCAGGAATGATCAGTTCCTATTGTCTAGCCTGAACAAAACAACTTTGGTATACTCCCTTAGGCCATCAGTTTACCCATAAACAAATCTAGTATTCGCCCTTGAACCATTGTTCTTTCCCTACAAAAATCCCTACCCATGCTCAAGTAAGTGTTCTGATGCCTGGATCCAAAATCTGCATCAGTTCCATTGGAACTTCTTCATCTCCTGACTGATCGTGCTGGGGGCTCTGCTTGTCTCCAGCACTCCGGACCCTCAGCTACCACCACCTCTCTCTCTCTCGCCTTCTGACCCTGACTTGTGTGATCAGTTATAGTTTTCTAAATCTGACTTTTATAATCAAATTTAAGTTAGATTTAATATTATAACTGTTTTGTTTGTTTGGCTTCCCTTTGGTTATTACCTGGCAATAAATAACTTTATGGTTAAGCTGGCTGCTTCTCCCCCCTCCCGGATGTTTTTTGGCTTCCTCATTTGCGCTGCAGCAACGCTCCTCGTACCTAAGCTAAAGATCCCTGCAGCGCCCAAAAATCCTGTGGGGTTTGCCCATCAAGTGGGTTACTACCAGAACAATTGTAACGTGAAAGTGGGGATAGGGATGTGCTGAACCTGGGGCATATGAGGATGGCAGCTTGGAAGTGCTGCTCGACCCAGCCTGCTCAGGCATATTCTATTCCAGTGCGGTGCCCATGGCATATGAGGGTGACAACTTGGAGGTGCTGTTCGACCCAGCCTACTGAGTCCAGGGACAGATAAGGGGTCAGTTTGGGAGTGCAGATTAACCTGGTCCATTCCTACGCACTCTGTTAATGTGTATGGGTGGCTGTTCATCTGATTCTGGGGTTGGAAGAACCCAGCCCTGGGGAACCTAGGTCCTGCAGGATAGCTCCATTGGGAGGGAACTTGCAGAAGTAGAGCTCTGTATGAGAACACAAGTGACACAAGCAGTACATTGATAGAATTACAGAACCTCCCCCCCCAGAAGAGTAACCATAATAAATGAGCGTACCCCAAAGTAACGGGCAAATCTGGTAACAAAACAGTGCTTTCAGTGAGCTTTGAGGTGAAAAGGAGAGGGGAAATGGGGCAAGTAAAGGGGTTAGAGGAGGAGAGGCAAGTGGGGTCAAGGCTGTTTATTTTTATTTATTAAAGATGAGACTAAAGTGTACTTGTATTATAAGGTGAGTGAGAGATTAAGGAGAAGAGTAAGGTAGCAGATGGAAGGGGGCATGAGGGAGTTTAGGAGATGGGCTGGAGTCACTGGGGCAAGTAGAGGGGTTAGAGGAGGAGAGCAGATGAGAAATTTCTCTGTCTATGACCTGGGAGAGGGAGACAAGAGCTGTAGGGGATCATACATTGCATCTTATTTTGCTAGTTTTCTCTTGGAAGAAATCAGCAAGATCCTATGCAGAGAGAAATGGAGGCAGGAGTGAAGCATGGAGAGAATCAACAACCATATCGATGGCAGGGAGGAAAGGACTGAGAGCGGACAAGAAGTTAGTGCTGATGGACTGGAAGTCACAGAAAGTCAGAGTGATGGTGTGTGAGGAACGGGGGAGATGGGTGGTGCAGAAAGAGGCCACATGGCTGGAGAGGGAGGATCGCAGCAGCAGAGGGACTGGAGAGAGAGCAGTGCTTGGTGAAGACCATGTCAAGTGAACAACTTTTGGTGAGTGGGAGAACTGGCTGCTTGGTCTTCCCTGCTTGCAGAGCTGTCCCTAGGGTATGGCTAATCAGAGCGACTGCCCCAGGCCCCGCACTTTAGGAGGCCCCGCACTTTGTGAGGAGGTGGACGGGGAGGTGATGCAGGAGGCGGGTGGGGGGGTGAGCGAGGAGGAGCCCCCCCACCAACCTCCCCCTCCCCCCAGCACCTTCTGCCCGCCGGTGAGCCCCACTGATCAGCACCTCCCCCTCCCAGCACCTACCACTGATCAGCTGTTTCGTCTGAAGGTGCTGGGTGGGAGGGGGGAGGAGCGAGGGCGCCGTGCGATCTGGGGAGAGGGTGGAAAGGGACGGGGTGGAAAGAGGCGGGGTGGGGGTGGAGCCTTGGGGAAAGGGATGGAGTGGGGTTGGGGCCTGGGCGGAGATGGGGGGAGCACCTCCTGGCAGATAGAAACTCAGCGCCTATGTCCTGGGTCCCACACCCTCTAGGGACGACCCTGCCTACTTGGTCTCCTCTTAGTTCT